ATCCACAACAGCTCCTTCCGCGGGGCCTTCCTCTCGGGGGTACGCCTCATCGGCGTCAGTGCGCAAGGCGTCGCCGTCTCGCCGCGCCGTCAGATGGGCCGAGACCGGCAGAGGTCACGCACGATCCGCCGAGGCGTAGGTGTGGACTTTGGCAGCGCCTACCTCGGCCTCGCGGACCTGAAGTACGCCGAGCTGCAGAACACGACCTTTCGTGCCGCCACCGTCACCGACGCGAGATTCGACCACGCAAACGTGTCGGGCGCCGATTTTACGGACTCGGTCGGCTTGGAGAAGGCGTGGTTCGGGAAGGTCGTCGGCTCGCCAAGGCTTGGGGGGTATTCGGTGGTCATAGGACCCGGTCCCAAATGGTCTGTCTCGAAGATGACCGCCCTTGTCGGCGCGACGCCGACGGCGATCCCGATCGCCGGCTGACTTGGCTAGGCTGACTTGGTACTTAATCAAGTCACATGAAGTAGATGGACCAAGGCGCCAGAGTGGGGCCGTCGCTCGGTGCGTGACGGGGCGCGCGAGCAATGACCATAGACCAATGTCCAATGTCAGTCAGTGTTACACACCTCCTAGCATGGAGGACGGGCCCACACGCACACACACGCTGCACACGATTGGCTCGGGAGCCGACACGAGGCACACTGTCACCGGCCGTAGCACCGGGTCCGGACTGCTGGACACACAGCACACAGCTCACAGAACAGCTCACGAGGTGGCGCTGTATAGTGGGGTTCTCAGGGACCGACACGGGAGAAGAAGGTGGAGCACAGGGACGGGGACACAGGACTCACGAACTGACATCCCACCCCGCGCCGGGGGCGGTGGCGCGCGCGAGCGCCGGGGTATTTGGACCCGCAGTCTGGCAGGCGCCAGGCCACAGATCCGCCGGCGGAGCCTTGAGTCGCATCCGCGATCCGCGCCGGCTCTCAGAAGAGATCCGGCGCGGTGCTGACCGCGCCCTCGGAGTGGGCCATCGAGTACTCGATGGCTGCCCAGGAGAAGCGGTGCAGCTGCGGCATCTTGTCGCAGCGCGGCATGATGTCGCAGTGCGGCATGCGGTACTCCTGCTGCAGCGCGCGCGCGTTGGTGAGGAGAGTGCGAGCCCTTGAGCCCGTGGCGTTGTCCATCGCCGGCGCGTG